AAAAAAAAAAAAAAAGGTGGAGGGGAAGAAACAACCTAAACAGAAAATTTTTTTTTACCCTTGAACGAATTCCCTCATTTATGTCCCTTATCCATTAGAGGCATTTGAGTTTGTGATCTACAATCCACATGAATGGGGGTGGAGGGGAAAAGAGCCCTTAACCCAGGAACACAGGGTATGTAGGAATTCTCTTTTCTCATTGTTACTCTTGCCTTCTATGCTCCAGCTGTCTGTGCTCCCCTCCCTTCCTTAACCGGTATCTCTGCTTCTACCTCTTGGACCTTCTGCCCCCACTGCTGCACTAGAGTGGCAGTGGGGAAGGCAGGTGGTGGTCCAGGGTTCAGTGTTGATGCTGCACCGTTTGCTGACCTGTGAGTAATGGGAATGGGCCATGATGTTAGTTTGTCCTGTGGGAGACTTGGTTGCTTAGTGGACTGAGAAAGAACAAAAACAGTCCTGTTCAATCCCCTCCCTAGACAGGTTTAGGTTTAACCTACTTTCTTTAAAAAAATTTTTTTTAAAGTGTGATGGTGGGTTAGATGATTAAACTATAACCATGCTTGACATTGTCTTTTCAGGGAGCTTGTATTCTGAATATGCTAAGGGATTATCTCAGTGCTGATGCATTTAAAAGTGGTATTGTACAGTATCTCCAGAAGTATAGCTATAAAAACACAAAAAATGAGGACCTGTGGAATAGTATGGCAAGTGTGAGTATGGTTTTATTTATCTCTATTTTCGGAATCCACAGGCTTATTATCATGTTTTGTTTTGTTTTTCCTATACCATATTAATCCATCTGAGCAGAATCATGAGTGTTTTCTACAGAACTGAGAATAATATGTTTATTTTTGGTTTTTAGATTTGTCCTGCCGATGACACACAAAGAATGGATGGCTTTTGCTCCAGGGGTGCACATTCATCCTCATCCTCAGTAAGTTGTTAGATCTCTACATGCTACCCCTAAGCACATATTTTGAGTCCGCATTCTTTGAAGGAAACCTCTGTGCCAAACTCTTTGAGGCCCTTCATTCTGTCATTCTTCTCTACAAAAGATTGTGTTTAAACTATACCAGACCGACAGTCTTTTATAATTTCTTTTGAGAACTATCTACACAAGGGAGTTGAATAGCATTCTTGGGTAACAAATATCACTGGTACTGATTTGTTGAGCTTCATTCTCTGTAAAGCAGTGAATGTATGGCATGTTTCTATGGTAGACGGGGTCTGTATCAGTCAGGCTATATGGATCATTTCCATAGGTCTTCATTTGTGAAACAACAAATAAGGGCAGTGAACATTCTGGAGAGCTTACTATGTGTCAGGCAAGTGCTAATAAGCACTTAGGTACATTACCTCCTTTACTTTGCAGAATAAGACCATGAGTGGGGTACTTTTACTTCTATTTTAACAGATTGGGAATATGGAATCCAAAAGCCTATGCTTAGTAAATTACAGAGTGGGGATCTGAATTTAGATTTAATTCATGTGTTTAACTGTTAAGCTGTGAAGAATTCATAATATTTGAGTCACAAAACAATGTGAGTCTGTTTATCTGGACTTGTGGAATATTTTCCTAGGTGGTGGAGGTTAAATCCACAGATTCAACTAAATTTTATTCACCATATTTTAATTTTTTTGGCTTTTGGTTTTTAGAGATCGCTTTATTCAGTAATTTCTAGATTGTTTTGTAGCATGTTTTGTCTTTTTTTACTAGCTCTTAAATATCTTTAGAAGCTTTTTTTTTTATTTTTGAGTGTTATCTTTCTTTTCTTTTAATATAATTTATTGTCAAATTGGCTTACATACAACACCCAGTGCTCATCCCAACAAATGCCCCCCTCATTGCCCGTCACCCACTTTCCCCTCTCCCCAACCCCCCCATCCACCCTCAGTTTTTTCTCTGTATTTAAGAGTCTGTTGTGGTTTTCCTCCCTGCCTCTCTGTTTGTAACTATTTTTTCCCCTTCCCTTCCCCTATGGTCTTCTGTTAAGTTTCTCAAGTTCCACATATGAGTGAAAGCAGATGATATCTGTCCTTCTTTGGCTGACTTATTTCACTCAGCATAATACCTTCCAGTTCCATCCATGTTGCTGTAAATGGCATGATTTCATTTTTTCTCATTGCTAAGTACTATTCGATTGTATATATAAACCACATCTTCTTTATTCATTCATCAATTGATGGGCATTTAGGCTCTTTCCAGAAGCTTTTTTAGTATCAAAATGTATTCTCCTTTGAATTTATGACTGTTGAGTGTGGACTATCTTGATGTTACCACTTAGGAAGTACAGGCTGTTGACTGATGATTTCCGCCTCCTCCCGCCCCACGTTGCTTCTCTGGGAGCCAGTAATGATATATAGGTGTTGAATGCCTGGCCATTTTGTGTCCCTTCTCTGCCTTCATTCCCATGCCTGCTTTGTGCGGTGTGCCAAGCCAAGGTATGCCTGGTAGAACCAGATACATGCTCTCAAGACATGACCTACACATGTAGATAGAGGAAGAGAATGAAAAGAAGTAATCAGTGCTCTAGTGGGAATGCTATGGCAGAAGACAGTGTGGGGAAGGGAGGAAGGAGGACAGGGTCTGATGAGCCAAGGAAGGGATGAGGAAAAAGCCTCACAGAGGTTGTCAACAGGAAGTAACCCTGTGAGCGCAAGCTTGGGTTCTCTATTAGAGTTGGGTGAGCGGTCACATGTCGGTTTTTTTCTGTGTATAAATCAGCACTGGCGTCAGGAAGGCCTTGATGTGAAAACCATGATGAACACGTGGACGCTGCAAAAAGGCTTTCCCCTGATAACCATCACGGTGAGAGGGAGGAATGTACACATGAAGCAAGAGCACTACAGGAAAGGACCTGATGACGCCTCAGAAACTGGGTAACATTCATAGAGAAAAGCTCATTTTGTTGCCTAGGTACCACCTGCCTTGTACGATGAAATCTTATTTTTCAGAGTGCTCTTAATAGATGCTGAAATATTTCAATGAAAGCTATGTATCCTATAAAGGTGATTACACAACATTGTCTTCCCAAAAGGATAACAGTGGCTTTAAACCTTGGTTCATCTCCCTAAAGCTGATTATATGTAATTATTTTGACATTCTCACATTGTGTAGTTTGATAGGATGGTAATTTCCAGTTACTGACTTGAAGTGACCACTGCTAAATTACAATAGTGCCTGGCATTTGGGTTTTCACTGAGGGCATAAACATTTAGGTGACTTCTGGGGATTATGAGAGACTCAGATCTCTTTTGGAAGTCCAAGTTAGATCCTGGGACCTGTTCAGCTTTAACACTTCAGAGATCAGGAGATGTGGCAACTTGATTGACTCTTGATAGGCCGTATGTAAAAAATTTTATTTTGAAATAATTTCACACTTACAGAGAAGTTGCAAGAAGAACACAAAGATTCTTTACCCAGGTTAACATATATGTTAACTCTTAACCACATTTGCTTTATCATTCTCGTTCTCCTCCTCCCTCCCCTTTTCTCCTCTGTGTCTTTACAGTTATAACCCAAAGTATGTATATACAACCTAAGATAAAACCTTTCCATGTGTAATCCAAAATACCCAACAGTTAAAAAAAATATACTCTCTATATCTATATCTTTTATATGGTCTCTAAATAACATGTATTATTGAAGTATAATTAATATCCTAGTAGTTTAGGTGTAAATCCTACTGATTCAATGTATTTTATGCATTACAAAATGATAACAATGATAAGTCCTGTTACCATCCTAAATAAAGGTATTACATTATTGACAATATGCTTTATGCTGTAAATTACATCCCATGACTTACTTATTTTATAACTGGAAGTTTTTATCTTTTAATCTTCCTTACCTATTTCATCCCCTGTCTCCACCCCCTGTTTCCTTGTTTATGAGTCTTTCTGTTTTGTTTGTTTTGTTTTTCAGATTACACATATAGGTGAAATCTAGTTGTATCTGTCTTTATCTGTATGACTTACTTCACTTGACATAATATGTTCTAGGTCTATGTCTGTTAATTGCATATGGGAAGAGTTCATTCTTTTTTATGGTTAATACTCCACTGTGTGTGTGTATGTATATATGTGTATGTGTATACTATTGTATATGTATAGACATACACACACCACATCTTCTTCATCAATTTATCAATAGACACAGGTTGCTTCTGTATCTTGCTATGATTAAACAATACTGCAGTGAACAATACAGGCACATGTATCTCTTCAGATGTATGTTTTCATTTTCTTTGAATAAATACCCAGAAGTGGAATTGCTGGATCCATATTGGAGTTCTATTTTTAATTTTGTGAGCAATCTACATACTATTTATGATAGTGACTGCACCAATTTACGTTCTCACCAATTGGAAAATGGAGCCTTCCATTTTCTCAACATTCTTGCCTACTCTTGTTATTTTTTTCTTTTCTTTTCTTTTCTTTTCTTTTCTTTTCTTTTCTTTTCTTTTCTTTTCTTTTCTTTTCATCATGGTAAGTGTACTCTTGATTCCCCATCACCTATTTCACCCATCCCCCCACCCATCTTCCATCTGGTTTGTTCCATCTGGTTTGTTCTCTATAGCTAAGAGGCTACTTTGTGGTTTGTTTCTTTTTTCTTTTCCTCATTTTTTGTTGTTGTTTCTTAAATTCCACATGTGAGTGAAATCATATGGTATTTGTGTTTCTCTGACTGACTTCACTTAGCATTATACTCCCTAGCTCCATCCACATCTTTGGAAATGGCACGATTTCATTCCTTTTTATGGCTGAGTAATGTTCACACACACACACACACACACACACACACACACACACACACCACATCTGTATCCATTCATCTCTTGATGGATACTTGGGCTGTTTCCCTAATTTGGCTATTGTAAATAATGCTGCTATAAACATTACGATTCATGTGTCCCTTCAAATTAGTGTCTTCATATTCCTTCGGTAGATACCCACTACTGTGATTACTGGATCATAGGGTAGTTCTATTTTTCAGTTTTTGAGGAATCTCCATACTGCATTCCACAGTGGCTGCACAAGTTTGCATTTTCACCAATAGTGCACAAAGGTTCCTTTTTCTCCACATCTTTGCCAACACTTGTTTCTTGGGTTTTTAATGCTTCTGACAGGTGTAAGGTGAAATCTCATTGTAGTTTTGAATTGCAATTCCCTGATATGTGATGTTGAGCATCTTTTCATGTGGCTCTTAGCCATCTGTATGTCTTGTTTGGAGAAATGTCTGTTCATGTCTTCTCATTTTTTAATTGGATCATTTTTTGGGTGTTGAGTTATAAGTTCTTTATATGTTTTGGATACTAACCCTTTATTGGATATGTCATTGGCAAATATTTCCCATTCTGTAGGTTGCGCTTTAGTTTTGTTGGTTGTTTCCTTCACCATGAAGAACCTTTTTATTTTTATGTAGTCCCAATAATTTATTTTTGGTTTTATTTCCCTTGCCTCAGGAGACATCTAGAAAAATGTTGTTGTGGGCAACTGCCTGTGCTCTCTTCTAGGATTTTTATCGTTTCAGGTCTCACATTTACGTCTTTAATCCATTTTGAGTTTATTATCGTGTATGGTGAAAGAAAGTGGCCCAGGTCATTCTTTTGCATGTAGCTGTCCAGTTTTCCCAACACTGTTTTATACCAGTACCATACTGCTTTAATTATTCCCATTTTGTAATATAACCTGAAATCTGGCATTGTGACACCTCCAGTTCTGTTTTTCTTTTTCAAGATTTTTTTTCAAGAGGTCTTTTGTTTCATACAAATTTTAGGATTGTTCTAACTCTATGAAAAATGCAGTTGCTATTTTAATTGGAATTGCATTAAATCCGTAGATTGCTTTGGGTGCTGTAGACATTTTAACAGTATTCTTCCATTCCATGAGCATGGAATGTCTTTCCATTTCTTTCCATTGTCTTGAATTTCTTTCATCAGTGTTTTATATTTTCAGAGTCCAGCTCTTTCACCTGTTTAAGTTTATTCCTAGATATTGTTTCTGGTGCAATTGTAAATAGATTGTTTTCTTAATTTCACTTTCTCCTGTTTCATTATTAGTGTATAGAGGTGTAACAGATCTCTGTCCATTGATTTATATCCTGTGACTTCACTGGATTCATTTATCACTTCTAGTAAGTATTTTTTTTTTAGTCGAGTCTTCAGGGTTTTCTATGTATGGTATCATGTCATCTGAAAATAATGAGAGTTTTATTTCCTCCTTATCAATTTGGATGCCTTTTATTTCTTTATGTTTAATTGCTGTGGCTAGGACTTCCAGTACTATGTTGAATAAAACTGGTGAGAGTGGACATCCTTATCTTTTCCCTGACCTTAGAGAAAAAGCTCTCAGTTTTTTAC